AAAAGAATACATATATGGATAGTTTGATGAAGGTTTACGTTTTGATTGAAAGAAATAAGTTGACTAATAAAGTAGTGTGATAGTGAATGTATTAAAGTTAAAGGATTTGTATGTTTGACTGTTCATTACTGTTCACGGCACTATTCATTATTGTTCACGACACTATTCATACCGTACGGTACTGTTCATAGATATATATTTTTTTCCCAGATTTTTATAATGAAGCATAATTTAATAGAATATTATTGTATTTTCTTAATATGAGTTCAAATGTTCAGTTATTTTATAAGAATATCGTTTTAAAAAGTCAATGTGACATCTCAGACTCGTATTCGGGTCGAGTACGAGATGAGGTGTTACAAGGTGTATATTGATTTTTCCATTAAAATTTTAAACTTTTTTTATTTTGGGCATTATATTTTTTCGAGCCACAATCGCCAACAAATCATCACGTGTCATCAACCATCTTTTATAGCAAGATAAATACCAAAACGTTTGTGTTTCACTCATTTTTCTCATGTTAGGATTGATTTTCTACGAAACCCTCTCAAAATCGATGAATTTAAACAAAAAACCTATCATTTTAGGGGTTTAAGGTCTTTTTAGATTTGGGAGATTTGAGATGTTTGTTCAAACATCCAAACGTTTGAGAACATTATTTTGAGGAGACGAATAGCATACCTCAAAACTAGCCTCGTTAGACAGTCATCGAAAGAGATCAGAATATTAGCATGTCATCACATTGACATGAAGATCTGTCCACATCATAATGTAGTTAAAATTTAACGGTCTAGTGACATAATTGAAGTTAAAACCAAATTTTAGTGCTATAATTAAAGAAATTTAAAATTCAATAATATAAACGATACACAACTTATATTTTAGTGGTATCAATGTAGTTTACCCTAACCTTAAAATTATTTAGGGTAAACTACATCAGATACCACTGAACTTTGTCCGCTAACTCATTTATGCCATTAATGTAATACACCAACCCGTATTCGACCCGAACACGAATTCGAGATGTCACATTAACTATTCAAAATATGTACTTTTATAAAAACAGTAAAAATTTAAACTTTCATTAACAAAAAGTTATTCTTTTACATCAGTATGTTTAAAACATTACCAAACTCGATCAGAGCATACATACTTAACAACTTTGTTTACATGCCAACCGATTTATTTCATAACAAGACATAATGTGTAATTTACTTCTGATCTTTGAACGGAGATATGTTGTTCCTTTAAACTTAGCTTTGATCCTCCTGCTTCTTAGTACCTACGTGTAAATCACTTACACGCTAAGTCATAGACTTAGTGAGGCATAAAATATAATAATAATGCATTTCCTATAAATATGAGTATATAAACAAATCATTCAATCATGTCACATGTACTTCAGTGTAAAGAGTAATAACATGATAACATATAACAATAACAACACTTTTAATACCTCTTGTAAGCCCATGTACATTATTGAGAACTTAAGGTATGTGAGTACATTAAGGTTGTGCACTATTATACTGTCACCACAGCTTAATCGATGTCCCGAAGGACCAGTTCATATGTTCCGAAGAACATAGGTAATCAGTCCATATGTCCCGAAGAACATAGGTAATCAGTCCATATGTCCCGAAGAACATAGGTAAACAATCCATATATCCCGAAGAACATAGGTAACCTTTGACTCTTGGCATGCCAACTATACCCCTAGCTCTCATATCACATAACATGGGCACTATCATTATGCTTCATTTATTCATGCATTCATATCATTGCTCTTATGATCACATATTTCTTTTCTTCTGTCACATACCACATGTATGTGTAAACATTTATCTCATATCATATATCATGTATCACTTGTGCATATAATCATATAAATCGTATCATATAGTTTATATCATTTCTCACGAGTTCATGTAAACACGTATGTCATATCTTATTCACATGTGTTCATACCGATCATGGTCACATATATAATAACATATACCCATTTTCATGTACTCATACACACATAAGAATCACATCAATCATATAACATTTTAGGAGTCACTTCTTACCATTAACTCCGTCACTGGCACATCGCAAGCCAATGTTTATTCAATAACATAAGTACAAATTAAATTGCACTCACCTTAGCCTTGCTTACTTTGGTCGATCCTAATTCTTCGATGGTTTCGGAACAGAATTATGTTTTATATCTATATAACAATACATAGATCCATATCAATATTCTAATTGATATACTCTAATCTCCCTTTTCTTAAACTAAAGGAAATGCTACATTTATTTCTTATTTAAGGTAGGTATCGGTACACTCCATAGTGTATCGGTACATTCCTTAACTGGTGTATCGATACACTTCCTATATATCGGTACATAAATTACATTCGATGTTTTCATTTTAAGGGGTGCATCGATACACTTCCTGTGTATCGATACACTTATGGCATTCAATGTTTCTTCATTTAAGAGTATATCGGTACATATTGAATGTGTATCGATACACCTTGCCCAGAACTTATATTTTAAGCACGAAAATTAACTCTTTTCATCTTCTACACTTCATGTTTCTTCCCCTTTTATGTTCCTAACTCACATACATGTACTTAAACCAATTTATACTCATTTATTACATCTTAAACCTCAAAATCTTATTATCCATATAGAATTTAAGAATCATACTCAATTTCCAACATGTTCTAAATCCAATTCTATCACTTCATATCTCTTAATTAAGTTGTTGACAAGTCAAATTCCATCTCCAAATTCCTTTATCAACTTCAGAATTTCATTTAGAAACTTCATATCTTTAATCTCTCATAACTTCTTCATCTTTTGATTATAAGACAACTTAAGCTTTCCTTAAGCTTAAGTATCACATAAGGATTAAAATCCATACTTAAAATCAACAAATAATCATCTAATCAGAAAACTCACATTTGCTCTTGGGTTCACGGTGAAGAAGAAGAAGAAGAAGAGATGTCTGGAGAAATCTCTCAACCTTATCCCCGTATATATCCTTATCTTATCCATTTCTAAGTCAAATGACCATTTTGCCCTTTAATTCTTTTAATAATTACTAATAACCCTTCAGGAAATATTTTCAAATAAGTCATCGAACTATTCAATTATTCTACTTAAATCACCAAATTCTGAAGTTTTACAATTTAGTCACTCACCGGGTATTGAGGATATTACAATTAAACTTTCAAATTTGTCAATTGTAGCACTAAAGTTTAGTTTTATATTCAATTATGCCACTCCACTGTTAAGTCAATAAGGATATCATTTTGCTAACAGTTGCTGACGTGGCATGCCACACTAAAATGATATCATTTTGGGGCGATTTTTCTGATGCTTAGAATGACATCATATTAGACACTAAACTTTTAGGGCGTGTCAGTTTTGTCACTTGACTTTTAAATATTTTTTACCATTACAATTTCCCGTCATCATATGCAGCCAAGCACCGTCATTCGTCGGTCGTATGTTTTAACAAGATCAATACCAAAACGTTTGTATTTCACTCCTCTTTCTTCTCCTAGGACAGATTTTCCATGAAACTCACTCAAAATCGACGAAAATCTATTTAAAGGTTCAACGTATTAATATTGAGATCTATTTCAACAATCGACTGGTGAATCTAGTTTTGAGGTATGATGTTCGTCTTCTCAAAATAATGCATTTCACCATTCAAATATTTTAACAAACACTCCAAATCTTGTAAATCTAATAAAGTATCTAAACATTTAAAAATGATAGAATTTGTGTGTTTAATTTCTTCGATTTTGAGTAAGATTCATGGGAAACTAATCATATGAGAAGAATGAGGAGTTAAATGCGAATATTTTGGTATCAATTTTGTTGTAAAAGATGATTGATGATGAGTAGTGATTGACTGCATGCGATGATTGAAAAAAGAAAATTAATTAAAAGTTCAGTGGTATAATCGATACACCTATAAAGTTTAATGTCTAAAATGAAATTATTGTAGGTATCAAAATAATAGCACCAAAACCACGTTGTTTTGATGTGGCATGCCACATCAACAATCGTTAACCATATCATGATCCCGTTAGTAACTTAATAGTGGAGTGGCATAATTGTATGTAAACTAAAATTTAATGCTATAATTGATAAGATTGAATGTTCAATGGTTGAGATGTTATTTTTAACTCCCATGCAATCCTGGTTTTATTCTTTGTTCCCCTAATTCAACACATTTAATTTTCTTTCCACCAAAGGGTGACACATGTCTCCCTCTGATTGGTGGAAAATAAATTTATTTAAATTAAAATAAATTTTAATCCTCCAATTGAATGGTCACACGTGTCATGATACTTAATACTAGTAACATGTGACATGATCTGATTCGAAGGTTAAATTTATTTTAATTTATTAAAATTATGACCAAATTGATAGAATATGTAAGTAAGAATGACCAAATATATAATTATACCTAAGGTTTTTAACTGCCACATCAACTTCTCTGTTAAATATTAACGACAAGTGATTTGATTAAATGTATTTAAATAATCAGATGACATGATTGACAAAATTTTAAAATTAGTGGTCAAAATAAAAAATGGCAATAATTAGACTGTTAACACTACAGTTTACCCTATATTATTTTTAGAGTCATGATTACTCTTCTGTTCAGACAAGAGCTTATATCCTTAATTAGCACACATGTCACTTAACCGATTAACTATGGTATAAGAGCAATTTCCATTTACAGTTTCATACCTAGACCTTGTTTTCCAGTTATTTCTGTACATAAACGGCCTACTTTAATAAATGTCCTTTGTACATTACAACTGCCCACTGCTTACAATTATTATTATTTTCATTCGCTGTTGAAAATTCGTTACGTGAACAGTGAAACCACAAGCACTGAGCAAATGGAAACAAGGAGAACAAGTCAATGTTTTTTGCCTATAAATACACATACGCCCATTGTCTGGTCCAGACCAAGCTTTCCCATTCATTAAACAAAGTTTCTCTCAATTTGTTCCAAATCCATTTTCCGACACTTCTTCAAGCTTAGTTTTTTTGTTTTGTTTAACATTGTTGCAGAGCAGTGCAAAAACCAGACCAAAATGAAGTTTGGGAAGGAATTTGCAGCTCAAATGGTGCCGGAATGGCAAGGGGCATACATGGATTATGATTATCTTAAAACCCTTTTAAAAGATATTCAAGCTTTCAACCAAAGAGCCAAGCAACAACAACCCGTCCCACATGGATTAAAACGAAATCTGTCCATGTACAGAGCTTTCAGTGGGCTGCTAGTTCATAGACATGCTCACCATTCCGTCGATCCGACGTCGCCGGACGTTGAAGAGCATCCCATTTTGGTGAATTCCGTCAACCGGAACGGCTCCCACAAGTACGAGACAACGTTCCTTATGCAGGGGGAGAAAGGCGGAGAGTATGAACTGGTGTACTTCAGAAGGCTGGACGATGAGTTCAATAAGGTGGACAAGTTTTACAAGTCCAAGGTGGCCGAGGTAATGCAGGAGGCTGAGACACTGAACAAGCAGATGGATGCTTTAATTGCTTTTAGAATCAAAGTGGAGAATCCTCAAGGATGGTCGTGGCAAGACCAGTCTGATGATATGACTCGTCTCGCCTCGTCTGTAGCAGTATCAACCGCTGTGCTCGCGGCTTCGACTCCGGCCGGCGCTAGAGCAAGCGGCAGTAAGTAGACACTACTCAATAGTACTAAAAATTAGAGCTCGGGGAAGTGAATTTCTTTATGAATTAGCCTTTGATTGTGGATTTGCAGGAAGATCAGTTGAGCTCATGGAGATCATCGAAGAAGGGCCGAGCGTGCACGATGATTCGGATGATGATAAGAAAGATACTGCCAAGCAAGATATTGAAGCTCAAACCATTGAAAAACCAGTGGTTGTTAATAAGTTCAAGGAACATAAACCAGCTCCGTTGCAGATACTGGACCGTGTTAAAATGAATAACACACTCGCTACGCCTCGATCCACCATTAAAGTGTTTCTAAATGTTCCTAAGCAGTCCGAGTTGAAATTTAACATGGAAAATCTGAAGAGGGTTGAGAATAAACTTAAGCGAGCTTTTGTTGAATTCTATCAGAAACTTCTCCTCCTCAAAAGTTACAGTTTCTTAAATACATTGGCTTTCTCAAAAATCATGAAGAAATATGACAAGGTATATATATATACACACACACACACACCTCGTTTATGTGGAAAATTATTTAGATTTCTGTTTTTTGACATTGTTTTATTCTTTTATGATTGCAGATCAGTTCAAGGAATGCTTCGAAATCATACATGAACATGGTGGATAGTTCTTATCTAGGTAGCTCCGAAGAGGTTTCGAAACTTATGGAAAGAGTTGAGGCTACGTTCATCAAACATTTTGCAAACTCAAACCGCAGCAAAGGAATGAATATTTTAAGACCAAAAGCTAGGAAACAAAGACATACAACAACATTTTATACTGGTAGAGCTTTGAATTTCATACACAACCAATTTATTTTTGGAAAGATATAACTCTGCAATTCTTGAATATTTTCTCAGGTTTCTTTGCTGGATGCGGATTTGCGCTTTTAGTAGCTCTTATTTTGATCATTCGTGCTCGGCATATCCTGGGACACAATGGAACGGACCAGTACATGGAAACCATGTTCCCTCTTTACAGGTAACGAATTAATGTTTTGGCTTGTCCCTGCAATTGAAGTTGATTTCAGTCTGTATATAAACCATTTGTTTGACGATTTTGCAGTTTGTTTGGATTCATTGTTCTACATACGGTGATGTATGCCATCAATGTGTACTTTTGGAGAAGGTATCGAGTTAATTATGCCTTCATATTTGGTTTCAAGCAAGGGACAGAGCTCGGCTACCGGGAAGTGCTACTTGTAAGTTTTGGCCTAGCAGTAATGGCACTTGCTAGTGTGCTCTCAAATCTTGATATGGAGATGGATCCCAAAACTATGGATTATAAAGCATTCACCGAAATTGTCCCTTTGATATTGGTGGCGGTAAGATCATTGAATTCATTCATAACTATATATATGTATTCATATATACATATAACTGAGAACTGATTTCTTGGTGTCTTTTTGATCTGTAGGTGGTATTCGTCATACTGTTCTTGCCATTCAACATCCTATTTCGATCGAGTCGTTTCTTCTTCCTTACTTGTTTGTTTCACAGCATATTAGCCCCTCTTTACAAGGTAAGCGCTCTGTTTTCTTGACGTACTGGTAATATCCATGTTTGATGCATATAAGGATCTGTTCAAGTAATCTGTAAAATTCCTTTCAAATTGCAGGTCAGGCTCCCAGATTTCTTCCTGGCAGATCAGTTAACTAGCCAGGTTCAAGCATTTAGAAGTCTTGAGTTCTACATTTGCTACTATGGTTGGGGAGATTTCAGACACCGAGAAAATAGCTGCAATAGCAACGATGTTTTCACGACTTTCAGCTTCATCGTGGCCGTGATTCCTTTCTGGTCTCGCATGCTTCAGTGCCTGCGTCGTTTTTTCGAGGAGAAAGACACATTGCAAGGTTACAATGCAGGGAAATATTTCATCACCATCGTAGCCCTTTGCTTAAGAACTGCATACAGTCTTAACAGAGAGTTGAGTTGGGAAATATTGGCTCTCATCTTCTCGGTGACTGCAGCCATTGTATGTACTTACTGGGACCTTGTCTATGATTGGGGACTTCTTCAACGCAATTCTAGGAACCGATGGCTGAGAGACAAACTCCTTATTCGACGAAAAAGTGTCTATTTCGGTGCCATGGTAAGTCTAAGAACCGAGTATTCGAACTCCAAACATGTTCGGTACCATGGTATATCTGTTTAATGGGCACATTCATTGGAATGCAGGTCTTGAATGTTCTACTGAGATTTGCATGGTTGCAAACAGTGTTCAATTTCAAGATATTTGATTTGCATAGGCAAACCATGATCACCATAGTGGCCAGCCTCGAGATTATCCGGCGAGGGATGTGGAATTTCTTCAGGTAAACTAAGTGTGCTCTTTCCCTGTCATTAAGATTGGATCGGAATCTGACATGTTTGGGAACATTATTTTCAGGTTAGAGAACGAGCATTTGAATAACGCCGGCAAGTATCGAGCATTCAAGTCTGTTCCATTGCCTTTCAACTATCATGAAGATGAAGAAAAAGATGAATAAATAGTTTATAATTCAATAAGGAATATATACAAGTAGTTGTAGATGTTGGAGATTAAATTATTTCTTTGTAAATGAATGTTTTTGCAGTACAATATATTAAGGGTAAAATACACTATTCATCATCGAATTTATTCTCTCTCATATTTTATTTATTGTATTTTTAATTTTTTTATTTACTTGCTGAACTTTAAAGTTGTTCATGTTTTGATCATTCTGAATTATTTTTATTATTTTTTTGTATGATGTGAATTTTTTATTATTTAATATAAAAATATTTATTTTTCTATTTATTTTAAATCATTTTATATTTTATCATAATAAAAAATGTCACATAATACAAAAATAATAATAAAATAATTTAAAATGATCAAAACAGGAGCAATTTGAAAGTTTAGTGAGTAAATTAGAAAAATTAAAAATATAATGAGTAAAATAGGAGAAAGAGTAAATTTAAATGGTGTAATTTACCCAAATATTAATTAGTGAATTTAGATTTAGTGATAAACTTTCCTTTTTGTTTTTTTCTTTCTTCTATGTTGTACACTTTCCTCTTTACTTCCTCTGCTTTAAACGTAACAAAAATGTAACAAATAAATAAAAAATACATCACCTTACATCCATTTCTCAACAAATTATTTTAATATATATATATATTTATAATTTTCAAACTATTTATTGAATGACCTTATGCTATGTTAATAATAAAATACACGTGAATTAATTAAATGAAAATAAGAACGTAATTTATATGACAAAGAAAATTGATAAAAGTATGCACTCATTCCCATTGGACCCAATCTAGCCTAAACTAGTTTGTCAACCTAACTCAAACATCCCAGCTTCCAAATCCGAAAACTAACTCAGGTCCAAAAACTAACCCTCTGTCTACATATCAAGATAATCAATAATCGCCTAATTTATCAATGCAATGTATTTAGCAAGTACTGGCAAATATCCAACAGAATATCCAAGGCAACATAAAATATCCATCATATCATGTAATATTAAAGCATCCTAAAAGTCTAATAAATAATGCAAATGATCAATCCTCAATATCCAGATGAAAGGAGGAAGAAGAACCCGAAGGATGAGATGAGCAAAAAAAAGTGAGCCTCCAAAGCATTAAAACTAGATCTCAAATCATCAAAGCTAGCTCTCAAGTCAGAAACATTAGCTTCCATGGCATCAAAACGACGATCGACAAGATCATGATGAGTGGCCATGAGGTCCTAGAGAGAGTCCAAAGTGACGGGAGGGCGAGGAGGATTGACATCGACGAGAGCATCCTCGTCATGAGCAGCCGGATCATCAACCGGAGGAGCTTCTTCAAGATTTTTAACCCAATTCCCATTTTCAAATTTGAACCCAATTTTCTTAAGAGAGGTATGACAACTTTCGTTTTGATGTCAAAACAAATTCCTTCTTCCCAAGAGAATATAAAAAATACGTAGTAAAGAGAAGTAATGGTTGATTCTCAGGGACTTAGCAAATTCCCAAATTTCTGTTTGAATTGGTTAAAACAGGCGATAAGTAGTAGATAAAAGGGTTTTTTTTTGGTAAAAATGATTAAATAATAAAAAGTGATTTAAAGTAAAAATAAAGAAAATAAAGAATGTAAAGTTGAAAATGAATATGATAAAAAAACTTAAGCCTCGTTTTGACTCAATTTTCTTCGGATCATTGAATTAGATTTTCCCTTCGGGATTCACGTTGGTTACTTTGCTACAAGGGAAATCCTAGTGCCTCTTCTTTATACACCGAATAGCCAAGACAATATTTGATTCCAGCTTCGAAAATTGATCTGATCAACATCAATTGTTGTAGATCAATAACCTTTTAAGTTCGTGAAGACCGACTCAGATTGTTGTTTCAATAACTACTAATTCCGATCTCAATTCCCTCTTAGCGAGGCAATCTCGCCAAGTGTGTTCCCAAGAAGTCGAATGCACTTTCAATAAGTCGCGCCTTCCTCCCTCACATTTAATCACAACATCTTAACCAAAGTCAATCTTTGATTTTGAAAACTATTTTGATATTTGAAAATAAACGCAAAGATTGAGAGAGATATTCCGAAGTTATTCAGGTGCTTTCCAATTCTCATGTTGGAATTGAGTCATCGCTTAAGCCATCGGCTTATGAGAAAATTAGCTAAGCATGACAAAAGTCATACATAGCATGATTAAAAATAACACTTAAAATAAGATAAAAATGAAAACTTGAAAAGAAAAGAAAATAAATAACTTTATAAAATTAGACATAAGAAGAAAAGTAAATTATGAGTTGTGTTTAAGCTTACCCCAAGAGGGTATTTATAGCCTATAAAACCCTAGAGATAAACATAGAAATTAAAATAAAAATAATCCTAAAGATAATTCCAAATGTTTTATAAATTCAAACTTTAAAATTTAAAAATATATCTCCTAAGATATCTCTTCCCGTTCACCTTCCAGAAGGCGCTGACTAGATCTTCTAGAAAACTACTGTTGACTAGACCTTCTAGAAACTGCCACGTCAGACCGTGTAATGCCCATGTCTCCATCCATGACCAAATAATAAAAAAAATGCAGAATGTGCCCTTTTTACTGATAATCTTGGAAAGTAAGATCCTGCATGAAAATAAGCATAACACAACCAAATTAACAACAATAAATCCATAATATCGAAGATTTAACAAGAGAATAATATCGATTTAGAATACTCATCAAGATAAAAAACACAATACCATCAAACAACACCTTTCCTTTTAAATTGAATTTGATTTTTCTGCACTTGTGTTGTTGCTTTTGTTTTTGCATTTTTTATTATGTCTCTTTCTGTTTTCTTTTTTTTTTCTCTTTTTTTTTTAGAAATGAAAGAAAAACCTTTTTTTCTCTATTTTTCACATCACACCATACAAAAATTCTTCTATTCATGGAGCATACATCAGATAAATTATTCATTTGTCTTGAAAAGGGTAGAAAAGAGGGATAAAATTAAAAGTCTCAGGTTTATAAATGTGGTGAAATCAAAGAATGAGAATAGGCTCAAGAGTGGTTAACTAGAGGAAAATGAATGGGTAGGCAATTTAGTGGGGAAAATGGAGTGGTTAATCCTAAGGTGCCCAAATAATTTTTAAGCATCATGTTCGTGTGTAATCTCGACAATATTTAAAATGCAAGTTCTAGAATATCAATGTCAAATTCGACACACTCAATCCAACAAAATGAGAGCAAAATGATATACTCGTAAAGGCTCAAATCTCACCAAATTGTTTTCATTCATTGAGCTAAGCACATTTAAACCAACAAAATCATGGAATATCACAATAAATCCAACTTGATCTCAATCCATGCTATTCGCTATCAAGAATATCCTAACCTAAACAATTATGTATTCCCAAACAATCATGACATACCAAAAATATTCAAAATACAAAGGAATTCAATGGAACTTTCTGCAAATCCAACCAACACATAATATCATCAAAACATAGAGATAAGCAAAAGGTAATTCAACCTAGACTCTACTCCCCCTCACTCAAAGCGTTTTATCCCAAAATGAAAAATTAAAGTACTAGAGAAGGAATAGAGAACTCCCTGGATTTATTGTCGACCACGGACACGGCCACGGCCGCGGTGGGAGGCACTGAGACGAAGATATGGAAGAATTTCAGTAATGTTCATCTCAATGGTGTGGAGACGACTGTGAACTTCATCCATTTGTGTTTGCATGTTCGGGCGAGGTGCTGCAAGTGGCGGTTGTGGAGCATTATGACGAACAAAAATTTGCTCACTGCAAGGAGTAAGGACACCAGGTAGAACAAATTATGGCGATCTCTAGGTTCCATCAAGTATGCCCATTGAGTCTAAACATCGCTCATTCAAGGAATGTATAGAAAAAACATAAGTAAACCTAGTAACATCAAAATTAGCGATACGAGAAGCTAAATGAGTAATATAAGAGCCAAGGATAAGAGGGCGATTGAACCGAATAACGATCTCAAAAGCCTGAGCAAAACAAAAACCTAAGTTCACTAGCTGGCCGAATGATATACACCATAAAAAGAAAAGCTCAACTCGGCTCAAAGAAGAAGACGAGTCATTTTGGCCGGAGTAATTGTAGGTGAGGAAGCTATGTATGTAGCGTAAGGCCAAGTCGTGTATATGATGGGCTAGAGTCGAGCGAGCGTTGAACGTATGGCCAGCCAAGTCAGTGAGTGTCTCGTAAGCCATATCGGCATCAAAATCCTGCGAAATCTCAAGTAGAGCAGTCAGATATGCATGATTCGTGACATTCTTCACGAATTCAAAAATAGACATTGAAAAATAATTTCTACATAATCTAAATGTAACGACATCAGGAGAGCAACATTAATAAGACAATTCTAAGAAAAAGTAAAAGTGGCATAAAATTCAAAGACAAGTTCATAAAACATGCCACAATTAATCATCGGATATAATGTCCAACCATTGGAAGAAAAGTAAGCATGGACAAATTCACGTAAGTGCAAAGATTTTAAGGTTTGAGTCAGAATATGTTTACCTACACGAAATGGTCGATGTCTTACCGAATTAAAGCATACCAACTTCTTGTTAGTGAACTGTAAGTAACCTGTTGAACTATATTTTGATATAACAATTAAGACAAAATGTTTTTGGACTTGAATTAAATTTATTCAAAGTTTTTCAAAGTTTTCAAAAATAATTCAAAGTCCATTTAAAAGCTTAGAATTGAGCACAAAACATTTTTTTGGACAAGTAGTACCGATATTATTTTTACAGTATCGATACCTAATGAACAATACCGATACTGTTCATATGGTACCGATACCAAAGGCAAGGTAAGTATTGATACTCAGTAGGTAGTATCGATAATACCAACATTGCTCAAATTCCAGAATGCAAAAATGGTATCGATACTACTCTACATAGTAGTATCAATACCGTAGGTATAGTATCGATACCATTAGGCTCCAATGGCTAGTAACAAATAGTTGATTTAAATATAATAAAGGTAGTACCGATACTCCCTTTAGGAGTACCGATACCCTCTATTTTGGGCAGCTTTATTTTGCACGAAAATTGATCCC